CGACCTGGTTTTACGGTCGGCTGGGCGGGATCTCTCGCTCAAATGAAGGTCTTGGTGAATGCATTGTTACTGTTGAGTCGTCTCTCTCGCTCTCTCTCTCTCTCATTTCCTTGGTGGGGTTATCTCGACCAATAATCTTTAGTACAAAACATTTACCAGACAGGAAGGGCAGAGCGGATACAGTTTACAACCTTGAGTAGATTCTGAGTGTTGGTGGTAGTGATGACGTCATATTTTATACATAAGTTACTTTGTGATGTTTGGAAATTGAGTGTTTGTATAATAATAATAATATTAACTAACCATTATTTGTGTTAATTATTATTATTATTATTTATTTTCATATAGAGGGGAAGAGAGGTAGGTGTAGGGGGTAGGGGGGAATAAGTAGGGTAAGGGGTTCATCCACTCACAGGCCTAGTTCAGGTAATTAGTGATGGTGTTCAGTTTTATTCTTTCAACAACTGTTTTCATTAATACTTGTCAAACATATCTTTATTTATTTATTTATTTCATATAGTAACTAATGTATTTTTGTCTTTGTTGAATTATATCTTTTTGTTTCATGATGTTATTTTTTAATTTATTTATTTTTCTGTAATACTGTATGTATTTGTGTAGTTTCTTGTATATATTTGTGAATTTATTTATTGTGTATATTTGTGTATTTATTTATTGTGTTTATATGTATATATATTTATGTATTTATTTATTGTGTACATTTGCGTATTTATTCACATTTTCTCTGACCACTACCATCGTGTGTTACCTCTTATGGTTAAAGCCAAGATACGCAGTTCCGTGTAATGCATAAACCTCTTTTACAACTCTTCTTATCTTACTACTGTTTACGTATATGACTATAGAGAAGGTAATGTATATATTGTTTATATTATATCTCTGTTGGTTTAGATTTATTTCCGGAATTAATTATAGATTGATTGGTAAAGAGGCGGGAAATAAGCAAACTGTGTAGAGGTGTCCGGGCGTCGCTGTGGCCGCCAGCCTGCGACATATAAGGCCTGACCTTGGCTCTGTCCCGACCCCTCCACCCCTACACTGACTCTGGCTTAGGATTGTGTGTGTGTGTGTGTGTGTAGACATTTATTTATTTAATTGTTTATTTATTTATTTGTATTTAATTATGTATATATGGGTCATAGATTTGTTCCACATTCAGTATAGATATTTATCGTTTATTTTTTTACTAATTTGTTTCAAAATATTGTTACAGGATTTTATTTCCTCTGTTGTAAGTTGGCAACACTGCAGGACTGAGTGTATGTATGTAATATCTCTGTTTTAAGAAGGCTTTAGAGTTTCAGAATGAGGCTGTAACATGCAATGAAAAGAAACGAATTAATGATAAATAACAAAAAAAATATATATTAAGTTTGTAAATGGCAGAGCAGCGAGGGAGGCGAGTTCACCTTGTGTTCAGCCCGGGATGGTCTCTCTCTCTCTCTCTCTCTCTCTCTCTCTCATTAAGATGTATAGGCTGCTGTGCTTCATACTTGTGGCAGCTTATTTATTTCCCTGCGTTTTCCTGTAGCTTATATTCTCGTGAGGGTAGGATGTGTGTGTGTGTGTGTGTGTGTGTGTGTGTGTGTGTGTGTGTGTGGGTGTGGGTGTGTGTGTGTGTGTGTGTGTGTGTGTGTGTGTGTGTGTGTGTGTGTGTGTGTGTGTGTGTGTTTGGGTGTGGGTGTGGGCGCGGGTAGAGGAAATCCGTATGGTTGATCATCATTCCACCAACTGGTCGCCCTCAACCCACGCCACCATGACAGACTCTCAGCTCACACCATTCTTGTCTCACACACAACATTATAATACTCAATCACTCTCGTATCCTGTACAACTTATCTTTAACTAGACTCAGCTTTACTTGCGGTATCCGTTGATGAGGTGTTGTTGGGTTAAATAAGGTTATCGTTGATTAATTGTTGATTGTGTTGAGGTTATTGTTTCGGGAATAATAACCTCACTGATGCCAGATTAAAGCAATTAATGGCTTTTTATATGGCAATACTGGAGACAACCTTCGCCGATTGAAATGATCAACTCGATTAATATTTATTTTATTATATTTATTATATTTTAACATCACAGATGAATACCCATAAGAGAAACTATAAGTAGTACACAAGGAAGTTACTAAACAAGGAAATATTTACTTGTTTAGGAACCTATAATGGTGAGATGATCATGTGGCAACACTGGGGTGACGTCATACGTGCCTTTCCATGCGAAGCTTTCTGTTGGTCAGCCAGACATTCTAGTCTACCTTGAGTCACCCTGCCTCGCCACACACCCTCCCTCCCTCACTACCTCTTTAAATTCTCAGTTATATGAGTAATGTACTACTTATATATGGATGATAAGCCGTTGTTGAAGGTGTTAAGCCATGTGGTTAGTACCTGCCAGGCCTCACACACTCCTTTGTCACCTGTTGCATCGTCATCCTCAACTTACGTAATGCTTCATTTATATCTAAATTACTAACCCCCAAACAAGTTGTTGTTGAAGGATTTAATATGGTTGGCTCACATATTCCTTTAAAACCTTCCTTTAATTCGGATTTAAATGTTGAAACGAGGTAAAATGAATTGAGTCGGTTAATCACATTGTATCTAAATAACGGCCATTGTTACTTATTTTAAATTACAGTTTTTACGATATTATGAAATACAAGAAAAATATAATTGTTTACCAGTGTTTATAAATATAGTCAGGTGAGTAGACATTGCCAAAACACACTTGCTATTAACCGTTACTTTGGACGCCAGGCGGAGGTGTGTGTGAGTCATAGTTTGTTGACATTGGACGATTTCTGCGCGCCAAAATGTAAACAAACCTTAACAGCCCATAAGCTAAAAATTGATCCACTCATGTGATTATTATTTTTAAAGATGTAATAAGTGTGTCCTAATTATATCGATTACTTTCTATATCTGATATGACCTGATAATACACATTGTTCGCGGGTGATGCTCATTTATTATTGCCTTTGACCTCTGTAACATCAACAATAAACACAAACTTTGAACACGTATGTATGTTAATGGAGTTTGACAAAAAAAAAAATCTATATACAAAGTCATCTAGATTGAGGCAAAATATAAAATGATGGTAGGATGAAAAACTCCTTATTTACCACAGTCTGACCTTCGATGTCTGCCAAATTGAAAAAGAAAATTGGACAAGTTTCGATATAGCTTGACTTAGCTCACGATATCTCTTACCAAATATTATTTTTTTGTTGGATAAAACTATGACTACCTGACGGGTGAAGATTTATTATAGTTTATTTTAAAAAGAATATAGCAGGACATGAGACTGTAAGTATGGAATGTTTTATAAATACGGAATGAAGCGATTGTGGTGTGTTGGAGTAGTGAGGTAAAGTCTGTGTCTGCTGTACTGTTGCTTTAGTGTTCAGACTGAGATAGATGAAGTGTATGATGATGATATACCTTAATGCTATCTTGGGTGGGGGTGGGATTACGTTAGGTTTAGTGTCAGAATGGTTAGGTTAGGTTTAGTGTCAGAATGGTTAGGTTAGGTGGGGAAGGGGGAGTAAATTCGCTAAGTTTACAAAAGTTTCCAGTCATACATGATCAAAGTACCAAACACGAAGGGTAACGTGTGTGTGTGTGTGTGTGTGTAATTAAATGGTATATGAGCTACATTATGACCTACACACACACACACACACACACACACACACACAGACACACACACACACACACACACACACACACACACTATTTCAAATCTCACTTAAAAATAATATCCCAACTATCGAAAATCCATATTTGTGTAACAGTTTAGATGAAACAAAATATTAGATCCTTTTAGAATATTGGACCTAGACCCTGCCTGCTGCTGCTGCTATCTCGGTGCAGGGCTGATAGTGTACAGGGGAGGAATGTATCGTTGAGGGGGTGACCGACCAACTTACTTCACCTTGATAGTAAGATGAGGCTGTTAGGGGGGGAGGGGGGGGGTTAATTACCAGAAATAACAAACCAAACCAATCACTATTAACCATTGTATATTTCAACAACTCGTTAACCATTATTAGATTATACTCTTTAATCAAATAACCCAAATTCAGTTGTATGTCGTTAATTATGCTATATATTATTAGTATAGCCTGGAAGATTCGTTAACCCACACGTATTCTCATTAACGAATTATGAATTGGTATCAAACGGTCACAAGTTAACGAAATGTGTGTGGGCTTTTTTGTGGAGGGGGGGGGGGGTGGTTTAAGAGGACCTGAATACCTGAAATACCTTCGTGTTGAGTGGAGTTCATCGTCTGCCTCGTGTTGAGTATGTGAAGGGCGCGCTGGAGGCTGGGGATGAATGCTACATATATCCCTCTTATCCTGGGATCATTATCTCGGCTTATCACCAGTACTAGTTTAAATTGGTTGCATGTATTTTAGTTAAATTGAGTAGTTTTTATTAATTATTTAACATTAAATTGGTTCTCTTGTTGATATTATTAAGTTTGGTGAATATAATGTAGGAGACGTGTTAAATGATAATAAAAAATATGTAAATTTATGTAAACTATTTTTTTTACGGAGTTATTTTCTTCTTT